ATATAGTCTTCATATTGTTTTCTTTTGGTATCAATAACTCCGGTTGAGGAGTTTGAAAAACTTTTATTGCAGTTTCCTGCTTCACTTCGTCCGATGACTCGGTTTCCTTTTTGATGGTCTCATCATTATTATTGACTTGTTTGTTGAGATCATCTATTTGTTTTTGAAGTATGTCATACTTCTCCTTTTGTGTACCCATCTCCTTTATACACAAGTTAATGTGCGATTGTTGGTATATAAAAACCCCAATTGTAAAAAAAAACATTAAGGCAAGACTGGGGAGAACTGAAAAACATGCTTCATGGTTGAAAGAAGGATGGTCTAGTATAATTTGGGGGCGATGAATCTAAAATAAATCCTTATGGATCCGATGGTCGAAGATGTGTACGTAGAGAAAAAAATACAAGATATGATAAAAATTTCTCTCTTAAACTGTTAAGTATTAAGGGGATGTTATCATGGTATGGGCCTGTTTCCCAGCAGATTGTATCGGAAATATACATAAAATTGAGGAATTAATTAATTAAAGAGAGCATGCAAAAATTTTAGACACAAATTTGGCATGTTCAACCAAAAAACTTAAATTTAAAAATTATATTTTTCAACAGGATAACGCTTCCAAATATACAGGCAGGTATATGAAAAATTATTTAATAGCTAGAAAAATTAACACCATGATTTGGCCTGCACAATCACTTGATTTTAATCCTCTCGAGAATTTGTTGTAGATTGCTAAGATTAATATTACTAAAAGAGGACTAAAAAATAAATTACAATTAGAGCAATTTACGATCGAAGCCTGGAATAAAATTGATAAAAAAACATGTAAGAGATTAGTTCAAAGCATGAACAATCAATAACCGTAATTTATCTAAGGGGCGGACATACTAAGTATTAAAAATCTATTGTGTCTTTTTTGTCCATATTTTTTTAAAAAAAGTTATTTAAGGCATTTTATAGCGCAAATATTTAATTTAAATTAATAAATGGATCTAAAAATGTAATTTAAATATGTAATATAAATTCAATGCCATCTAAAAAGGTTCTATTTATTCATTCAAATCAAAATTGCATTTTTTATAACCACTGCTTCATAAAAAATACCATGTGTGGACAAAAATCGGGTGTTAGAAGAATGTCTTGGTTTAAAACGGCATTAAAGCATGTTTTGATATTAACTGTGAGACCCCTCTTTCTGAGGGGTCGGAAAAGGTAAAACTCTGAATGAATGGTGTTTATTTATGGTTTTTATCCTGTTCTCTTCGGGTTTCCGGTTTTTTTCCTTTGGTAGTTCCTTGACTTTCAATGTGCTTCTTTTTTCATCCCGTAGTTGGAGTATTTCTTTAAATACTTAATTAAATTAACTGCATGTTGTGATGTTTGGTATTTTAAAACGTCGTTTTTTTTGACTACTGCGTTGAGAGATTCGATATTTTAATCATTGTTTGGTGGCATTTTAGTCCCGTCACTTCTTTTAATTAATCACAATTATTCACTTGGGTTCTTTTTAATGCAAAATGGCCACCCCGAGGTGCATCTTAAGTCGTCGGCTGACGATGACTATTGTACTTTGCCTCTCAAAACTTTAATGTAGTGTTGTTACAACATTAATGCATTTTATTATTTTTTCCCTTTATTTCTTAAATTTTTATAAAATTTTATTATTGTTGTACCAATAATAAAAAGGCAAATGAAATCCAAGTGCTTAAAAAGCCACGGGTCCGGCGTGAAACGAGTGTATTGAAATTCCCCAACGAGAATAATAAAAAGTTTAATTTACAACAGCTTATAAAGGCGCAGAAAGCTGTGTTTTTAAAGAGTTCTTTCTTTGTTTCTAGAAAACTCTCATTGTAAATTTACCGGGCATAAATACAGAACCTTTGATTAATTTGTATGTTTGACCCACCCCAGTAAAAAAAACGAGAAATTTTACGAATTTATAACAAACTCGCCTACTTGCAAGGAATTGTGCCTATGACAAGAAAGCATTCAATGATGCTACGGGAAGACACGTATATTCTCGAATAAAGAAAGTTTTTATGATAAGTAGTTTTATTTGTGTATAATTTGAGGATAGTGGAAGGCTTTTGATTATATAAAATTGCGTGGACTCATATATCTTTTAATTACTTTTATTATTTATATTTATGGTTAACCAACCAATAAACATAATTGTTTAAAGAAATGAACCAATACCTAAATTAAATCACTAATGTGTATGACGATTTAAATAATAAATGAACTTTTGTTCATTATAAAAGTGAGGTATGAGAATTATACCACAAATACAAATTAAAGAACATTTACAATTGTTAAAAATGTTTTTTTTTTTTCAATCAAAAAATTGGGGTTAATTTATTAAAAAGTTATATTAAGAATTTATTGTTTTAGCTGTGTTACAACATGTTGTTCCTTAATTTAGCTATAATATCATTCGCACACACCACCTATTTTTAATTGACATTTATTTGCTCTAACCTCCCTTTTCCGTTCAAAATTATATATGCTTCGTTTGACAGTTTTTGAACAATTTGTAAATCCATATATTTAGTTTAGTTTTGTCACCACCTTTATCCTCCAAAGATAATGACTTGTCAAAAGAGACCCGACTTTCTTATTTAACATTATTTATTTAATAAAAGTTCTTTATATAGTTTTGACTTCACTCTGAAGCCTGTTGTATTTCAGAATTTAGTTTCATATCCTCATGTTTTACTTTGAGGAAATTGTTGGGTTCATACAGTCACTGGTAACGGGTTTTATTTGATTTTTGGTTAGCCCATATAAAATAATTTTCTCTCCTAACTTTATTGGTGCTTAATTTCCCCACCCAACCAATTATTTGTTTCCGATATTCTCTGCCCATTTCATCCCGCCTCCACTTGCAATCTCTTTTTAAAACACCTACAAATGGATCTTTCTTCGGTAACCGCTTACATTTAATTTTCTTTAAAAAAAGGGTAAAATATTATAAAAAAATAATAATATTGCAAAAAATAATTTTTTTTGCCCATGTTGGCGTAGTTATCAAAAGAAAAGCAAATATGTTTAATTTTACAAGTTCTCTCGACTCCAACTTATCATCATACTTTTTTTTTACCACCACCCACAATCTAACCTACCTACCCACTTATCTAAGCCAACCCAAATCTAGCCTATCTACCTACTTATCTAAGATATATATAAATAATATTATTTTTATCTTTTTTATATACTTTACTTTTGAATATATGTGTAAAACATTGTATTCTAATTGCTTGGTCTTTCAATCAAGACATTTTTTACCCTTTATGAGAAAGGGGTTAAAGATAAAGTTTGTATTTGTATGAATGAGTTAAAAAATTTTTTGTTATCAAACAATATTATACCAACAACGGTGATCTGTGGTAATTGTAGAGAGGTTTATGTCATTTGAAGGGACCAGTCACCGATTTATCTATGATACTGTATAAATGCCCAAAGGGTAAGTGTCAAAAGTGACGTTATTTGTTTCACTCTCAAATCCCTCTAACGGATGTAGTGCACTTGATTTATCTCCTCATGCTTGATACAAGCTGTAGTCAAATCAATCGTTTTTTGTTTTTATCCGACCCTACATCGCAAGTTATAAAGATCTGCTTCTAGACGCATACAGGGTCTATATTCAACAGAGACCCGTTCTCTTGAGCGGACCGGGTATTATTGTTGAAGTTAAAAATGTTGTTTTTTCAAGGCGTGATTTTTTTCTTTGCCCCACAACCACAAACGATACTATTCTCGATACGGTTTGGATACTCGGCGGTATTGGTAGAACACTCCAGCAAATTTTTTTCTCGCAAGGGTTAAAAATAGAACCATTGACAACATACCGAAGCTATGCATAAGACTATCAGTGATAGGAGCGTTCTTTACGCGGATGAATGTTTGTCGTATCCGTCTACTGCTTTTGCGCTAGGAGTCGAACACCGCCGGGTAAATCGTTGTGTAGGGTTTAGAGGAGACAATGGTACACGTACAAATACCATGGGGGATTTAGAAAACATGAAAAGCTCGATGAGAAAATAGCATGGGATAAATAGTGGCCACATTGATGATTGACTAATAAAATATACTTTCAATAGACGTTATGTAATAAATAAGAGCAATGAAGAAGTTGTTGAGTTATACATTGAAATTCTAAAAATCTTTTTTGAAATAAATCATTAAATATATTTTTTTAATTTTTTAGCTCCCAAAAATTAAATGTAGGCAGTATCGGAAGAAGATCCACTTGTAGGTGTTTTATCTTTTATCAAGACAGTCCATTTTTTTTCGGCTGAGGACAGTAAAAACGGACAGCCACTAAATTTCTTTAAATTTGAACGAATCATACCAGGAACACAAATCAAGTCAAAGGAGTACATTTATTAAATTAGAGATATTAAAAAGAACCTAAACATAAAACACCTCAAACAGTTTGAAAAAAATTCCATAAATAAGGGATGGGATGATACATAGAAAGACCAAATATAGGTCAGTTTACATGTTTACCGTTCCCTTTTGATCAAAAAAAGTAAATTTTTTTTAACCCCTAATTGTGAGGATACAAGAGTTTAGAAAATTCATTTACAAAGAAGAAGAATTAGTAAGGTTTCTTCTTAAACGAGAAATTTTCAGAAATCCAATTTATCAATAAGTGCGGTATGACCCCGATAAAAGTCAAGACGGTTTCTTTAAAAACAGAAGTTATTTGCGCCGTAATTAAAAGAAATGTTCTAACAAGGGTTGTTGTCAAAGGGAAATCTCTTTCAAAAGGCGAAACTAAGTTTTAAAGCCACATCAATTCTACTATGCGAGTGAGTAAAGGGGTTATCAAATAATGCCTGTGCATCCGAGCTTGATATCCAATCGAGTAGAGTCTCTGGGCGGTGTTCTCATTTAAAAATGCTGTATTTGACTGAATTTTTAATAATATTTAGCACCAGTCGAGAGGAGGAAAGGACTGTATAGTCGGGATCGACAAAAAAGTTCTTGTTAAAAGTAATATCACCGAGGTCGTCTATTACAATATCAGGTATGAGAAGTCGGTGGTGTAATCTGGGGTGATGCAGGCATTTTTGAAATAGAAGAAAATAGACAAAGGTGTACTTTGGCAAAGTTAATTAGAAGAAAGATAGCACCAGGATCATCTATTATTATACTGATTGCTGGCGAGGCAGTCTTGATATGGCCGATATCTGTGCCGGTCTTGGATATACTTATGAGACGGGGAACCATTCAGTAATTTTTTTGGATAACGTTTTTGGCGCACATTCTCAGTCCACTGAATGAGAACGTGGTCTGTAGTCTGTAATAAAGACAGAACTTAAAAAAGAGGGAACAATGAACGACACGTTTGATAGATCTGGCGGGTAAAATTTACATACGTAGTTTTAAATTATATAATAGTGCTCGACTAATGAACAAAAATTTAGACGAAGGTGACCTTATTATCTTGAAAACGAAGAGAAAATATAATAAATATTCTTTAACATTGTTTTTGTATTTTTATAAATTTTTAAAATTTTACTTTTCTTTACTGGGGGAGTAACATGCAAATTAATGAAAATTGAATAAGTTAACGTTAAAAAAACTTTTTAATTGGTGTTAATTTTAGTAGAGTTGTTGATAAAAAAGGAAGTCGTAAGATATTGAAACAAACTGTAAAAACCAATTTTGAGTAAAGCAGTTTTAAAAAAATGGAAATTTTGAGCTGTGTACATATCAACGATGAAGTACACGCGTCATTAAAATTTTAAATGTGAATAAATCTTGACAAACCAGCAAAATTAAAGGTTGTGCAAGATACTGGGAAGCTTTAATTGGCTCAAAATCTTATATTTAACTTCAATGAAAAAAATATAAATATTTTGTTAAAAAATTGATTTTATGAGTGTGCTTTTAAAATAAAAAATATAAAGGGACAAAATAACACCAT